AATTTTCGCGATGAACGCCGCCTAATTTTGACATATCTGATAAGAAGACTTTTGAGTAATGACAGCATGGTTCACTGTTCATTACGCTATTGTGAATACACTGAAAGGAAAAACGTAGACCTCTAACGAAACAAAGGGCCGTATGCATAAAACCAAAGCAAATGCCTTTTTCTTAAAATTTCAGACTTTTTACTCGAACTTTTAAGTAAAAGCAATTGCTTAGTTTTTGTAGGGTTCAAAACATGAAACCACTACCAATTTTTTTCCCCGTTAAAAGAAGCAGAACAAAGTGTATCACANTTAGAAAAAGGGATAAGCCATACAAAATTCGTGCCTCCTTTATCTGTAACTATAAAGGTCGGTGTTATGCAGACAAACTTTTGTTTGCCAAATTAAATGGCGTCTGCTTAGTTTGCTCGGAGGTGGTTATGTCGAGTTTGGCACAGGGTTGCACGTTCATTATGGTTTTCATGGCTATTGCCAACACGAAATAAGAATTTCAGATGTACATAACGTTTACAATTAATATATTTTTTATGATATCGTACAGGCAATTATTGCACGCAGTTTGCCAAACAAAATTTCTGCATAACACCGACCTAAGAGGATGGGAAACAAACAGCTGATTGCAAACACCACATAAATATACCTCCAAGTACAAATTATAGGCCTGACAGAATGAGTACTTGTACTTCAATAACGGAAAAGTATGCGAAGGAAGTGGCGTACGTACCGTAGAGATACGCCACAATGAAGGTGTTGCGTCTGCAAACAAAAATAAGCTGCTTCTTATGGCCGCGTACTTGGGGTTTACACAAGTCAATTTTTTCAGATACAATAGCAAAACATTCACATTTTTTTTACTAATATATTCCCACTTCCCTTGAGGTCTTCATCATTGTCTCTGGCCTTTCGAAGACAGTTTATTGTCTGGATGCCTACTTTACGCAAACAATGTGTAAATTATGTGCATATTCTCATTGGTCTTGTCTTGTGTAAGCGCGGGGTTATACAAATGTCAGCAGTGACGGACCTACTTAGGGTCCTGTCTCCACAGGAAAACACTGATGTCGTGATAACCATGTCAAAATATATATTTCCAATGGATACCGCCTATTTATCATGGGGTGCTTATTGCTTGACATCTATTGGAGGCAATTTAATAGTTTGTTAGCCATATTTTCATTTGAAAGAAAGGGTGGTAACATCGATGCAATTTTAATATTAAGTCAAAATAAAAATCTGTTCCCTATGGGATTATTTACGATTACGTTTTAGGAAATTATTCAGCAAGTTTTTTAAAGATTTAAGTGTTTTTAAACACTGAAATTGAGAGAATCTTGTCTGGTGGCGTCATGCGGCAAATGCTTATTTCAAGACATCAAGGTGACCACACACAAAAACTTGCAATCATATTGCTCGTCAAAATGACAGTTGGTAGGCCATCGGTGTTTGACAGTGGAGTTCTGCGGTAAAGGAAAATAATAATTTTCTCAGTGTACCAAACTAGTCCATCATGGCTGGCAATGCCATATTTGACTAATGAAATCAGTGATTACGACATTTCTCCCTTTTACATTTCAGAATCTAGTTAGACTTCTTCGTGCAAAGGTTTTTACTATAGCTGTGCGATTTCTTTCGTCGCGGTGCAATTCTCGAAAGCTTGTTTTTATTGCGTACATACATATTTTTGCATATTAATTATTAGCATACTCAGCAAATGATTCTGCGCATTGTGTAGAAAAAGTGAAAACAAGAGGAATTTGCGAATATGCACCTGTAGCTGCATTGCGAAACAACAACAAAGTCTGCAGCATATCAGCGCGCGCTAGATCCCGAGGCGAAAGTGGGACAATAACCAAATCAACTGCAAAAAACAAAACAGCTGTTGCTTGTGATTACTGCAAAACCAGCCAATTCAGCATCGCCATCAAAATCATATTACCGATTGAATAGCGTGTGATAAACTAAACTATAAATTGCCAAATACTAACGCAAGCAGAATGGCGGACATAAACGAATTGATTGGGTCATCATTTGTGCGTGTTAAGGTAAATAATACCCAGAGGACTTATGGGACACATACGCCCATAAGCGAAAGTTATGATAGTACAAAAAGTAGATACGATAACACCACGATGTAGCGAACCACGATCTTGTGATAAGCTTTATCACGAACACTTCCCCTTTAAATCTACGGTTACTTAAATCCTACGGTTACTTTTATGTACATATGTATGTACGTAGGTTTCCCCAAATGTGGCGTACATGCATACATTCGTGCATAACGTTGGGGAGGGGCTGTCTGAACGTTATCAGAATTTTTATTCGCTGCATATGTACATATGTATGTGCATGCATATGTTAATACTTTTACTATTTGACGAGCAGCTAATTTAAATTATTTTTACAATTAATTGTATTGACTGCGGCAGTGAGTCAATTGCTTTCGCTTCAATGCAATGAATTGAAATGCATTGTCAATCAAGTACCTAGTACAGAATGTTGGACCCCCTAGACCGCAACTATGCTGCATTTTTATGCTGTGTTGTGGCGGTGCCTAGGTATAAATCGCAGCCACAAACATTTAATACAGTCTATGTGTTTGGAAGGCAATTTTTCTACCTCTTCCCCACTTTATCCATTGCTTTAATGTATGAATATACATACATATATGCAGTGTATGTTGATTGGATGAACTTCAATGGCTTCACCACGGATTCTCCTTCAAACACCGTTTCGGTTTAAATGTAACCGAAGTCTTATCTCTATAAATAACTATATTTTTAATTCTTCGCTTTACAGCTCGTCGCTTTTGTACACTTCTTCTTCATCACAAATGCTATGCTAGGAACGTGGGGACATGGAGCTTATGAGTTTTACAATTTCCTCTTTATTATTTCCATGCTCTGGGCAATGCATTGCAAGGAATCTATTGAAGCGGCACAAGTGGTAAGTATCCAATGTATAAAGAAACGTCTGTACATAAACGTGTGTAGGTATATAGTAAGTAATGGCTGTACATTTTAACATCTGTTTTACATATTCAAACTCATTTTACAAATTTGAGTTCAACCTATAGCTGCTTTCGATTCGCCAGTCCTTAGCGGATTGGTGCGGTTCCTATCTGCTATTTTTGTTGTTGTTATAGGGGTTATAAGGAAGGGTGCAACTCCGACTGGGTTAGTCCATAGGAACAGGGTGTTAGTTGAGTGGGGTTTAGGGGGCATGCGCAGAGATGTTCTAGTCGTGGAGTCACACTCCGCAAGCCGGGCACTGCTTGGACACATCGGCATCTACCCTGCTCAGAAGAATTTAGCCTGCAGAGTCGCTCTGTCGCTAACTGTCAAAGTGTATAATTTTTGATTTTGTCCATTAAAAATTGTCAAGGTTCATATCGTCGTTTAAAGTACAAAAACCGCGTATCGTCATTCTGCAAAACCGCATAACTGACATTTGCTGCAAAAATTGGTTTTGCTCACACAAGCTCTTAGCTCCTCTTAGCTCGTCTTGAAATACACTAGCCAGAAATGTGATTGCTTTATAAAAAAGAGAACCATTTTGAAATTGAGTGCTTTTGCTCTTTAGAAAATAATTTAAGCAACTTCTCATTGACTTGATACGCGGTTTTGTACTTTAAACGACAATATATTTATTTACTCCGCACAAAAAACTTAAGCGATATTTTCTTTTAATTTGTAAATATTTACCCATTTAATATGGGTCCTACTCGGCATGATGTTGCAACATGCAAAACGTACACTCATACAATTAAATTGCATGCATAAGCATGTGTGTACATACAATACAATATGTAATTATGTACATCTCTGTTTAAGCAGGTTAGTGACAAGCAAGTGATAACAACCAGTTGCTAACTAATGTGTGGAAATCTACGTATAAACATACATAACATACTATTTATGTATTTATGCTGCAAAAACAGCCTATTTTAAACGCTTATTATTATTATTTTTTCTTATTATTAGTCCCAAGGGTTGCCCTCCTGCCGCCCATCCGCACGAGGAGCGTAGTCCGCATGACGCACGGAACTCTTTTTTTTTTTAATTTTTGCGCCGACTCGCGAAAGGCATGAGTTTGTTAAGTGTCGAGATCTAAAATATTCGGCTACAAAAGCAAATTCATCACATGATTATTATTATTATTATGCCTTTATCTTAGCCAATCATTTATTGAGAGAGGATAGTACCGCTTTCTTAATGCTGAAAGGAATCTAATATGTCAAACGTGCTGGAATGGAAGTTAAAATCCTGGCATAAGCAAGGCATAAGCAACGGAGTGGCTCATGTAATTTAGAATTTGTTTTCCAAACTTTCAAAAATAGGGGACTAAAGTGTATTGATACACAAGAGGGAACAATAAGGCTAACTTCAGCCAGAAGAAGCGGACTTGATATCGAATCTTAAGTTAACCATAAAGGCAGTTTCACACGATTGGCCATTTTCCCAAAATTTGGTGCAAATCGTATCCCAATCTTGTGTATGCACAAATATTTCTCTTTATCTCAATCAAGAAAACAATTTATAAAAAATGTACAAATCTGTACAAATGTACCAGTTGTGTGACACTGCATTAAAAATTATACCAAGCCTTTCCCCGCGACTGACAAGTGTAGGAACACATAATTCATAAAAACTTTGAATTGTAATCAAGAAACTGACTAATAAAATACCCTAAATATTGATTTCCTTTTTTTGTCGTAACCTATTTGATTTATGCGAAGGTGTGGAAAAATCTCTAAATACTCTAAACTTCCCACAGTAAACCCACAGACCATGTCGCGGTCTTTTATGTGTTCGGTTGCTCCCCGCCAGTGACCACATTCATGGTGCGAAAATATATTTCGGTGGTAGCACTTCCTCACCTAACCCTACCACAAATATATAAAGCGCAGACTGTGTAAGGGGTACTACAGTCAACTCCGCTTTCTTAATTGCAAATGGTTTTAGTAAAAATATCGCGGAACTTAAAGAAGCGATTCACAGCAAATAATGATTCAGCGAATTGAGAAAGCTGCGAAAATTTTAAGTAAATCATAATACGATTGACTGCGAAACATTAGGCGTAGACAGTGATCTGTTCAAAATGAAGTTGGCAGATAAAAGCGGAGTGAGTTCTAATCAAAAAAGGAATTGCCACAATAGGTTATTCAACGGAAAGGCCAAAAAACGCAGATACGCCAACCTAAAAATGAGACATGTTATGATTTGTCGCTGATTGCAAATCTTGATTAGTTTTAAAAAATATGTATATATCAAACACACGTTTTGAAGTGTAATAAGCAGTTTTTAGAAGTAGCTCATGTTGGCGATAATAGTTATTAAACCAAAAACTAAAAAATGCCGGAAATCAAAATATAATTTTTTGATTAAGATACTCCTCAAATATAAATTAAAGATTGAAGAAAACGACATCATACAAAACTAAGCGGAATAGACTGTATAAGCATGCTAATAAAATAGTAAGAAAATGGCTAACATTGCGTGCTGTACACTATTTGCTTTCGAAAGGTGGTAATAAAAATCCTTATACACCGTTACTGCCCCCAACTGTGAAGAAAATTAGAAATGTTGCATGCCAAGTGTCAGAGTTGACCTTTTTTTCAAATTAATGAAGCTAAGCCAGTACGTACAAATGTATGCATCTCCAAACTACGTACAGTTTCCACCCCCCATTAAAGCGCACTACCTCAGAAAGTAGAGTTTGCAAATTTGGCTACAACAGCATTTTTTTGAAAAACATACATACATACATATGTACCAGGAATGTCTGATATCGACTACAGTGCGCATAAGTGCTTTTCGACTTAGAATTTCACATGCAAAGGTAGTGACGTGGTATAATAAATAAATACATATAATATGTATTAATGTTCATATGTATGTATGTATGTATGTACACATACATGTGTATATATACTCTTGCTACAAAATTGGCAAATAACGCGACGTCATCGTCGCTTGGCCTCTAACTTACCGACTCCTCGCATAATTAATATAATCAAATCAACACTTTTCTACTTCTCTTTTTCTTGACATTAGTAGTGTTTAGTCTTTTAGAATGAAGCTTTTTGCCAAAACAGACATATCTAGTGTATTAACGTATTCTTTTCCAAAACGCATCCGAAAAGTTATCGAAACGCATCGCTAGAGTAATCAGCGCATCATAAACAAAGTTGATGCTTCGTTTGTTTTTGGTTACCATTGGTGTTTTAAAAATAGAAAATTCCGAAATGGTGATCATTGTTTTATTAAATATTCAAAATATGCACTGTATATGGTTGCAATGTTTCGCAACTCTGCATATGTAACCAGTTAAAATACCGCAGTAGAACCGTATCCAAACGTTGTATTGGTCAGCCTATCTTTCATGTGTACCTTCCTTATCTGATTTCGCCATACATAATTATGTATCATATGCAAATGCCATTGATAGTAGCGGAAGTTTGTAGTTTGAGAACTTTTATAAAATATTTCTTCTCTAAATGCTTTGTTTGCCAAATTTTTATTCCAGCACCTAAGCAACAAAATTTCATATACACGTTAGTGTCCCAGTTGATAATTTGGTAGGCCTTCTTATTTGAAGCCATTCGAGAAAGTTTACCAAGGAAAGGCTGAAAAAAGTGGCCTTTTGGCAGGGCTTTTTGCTCCTCAAAATATCTACTGCGAAAGAAAACAGAGTATTCATTTTGCATACATTTGTTGCCGGTTCAAATCTCAAAGAGAACAAAGAAGAATTTCATTCATATCTGGTTCACTGTATTACACTTTGGCATTAGTCTTCTGTTTCTTTGCGGGTAATCCCGGAGTCATTCCGGAATAGGCTAAGTTTACATATGTATGTATGTATGTATACATATGTACATATTTGCTAGCACATATTTTCACAATGTTCTTACAATGTTCTTATGTACATACATCCTAATACATTTTTAACGCTGCAGTTTCATCGGATTCACTGTACATACATATACAAGTTGCCGCCAACCATTTTTTGTTTGCTATCGTCACAGTAAATATTTTTACTGTTAGTATAATATATTTTAAAGATATTTATTTGCGGTTTCTATGTATATCTATTCATCTATAGTATAAAATACGTTATTAATTACCTCATTCATATGTCCCTCTTTCATTGTACTTTTTTCCTTTCGTTTACTTACAGGCGCTCGTTATAAACGCTTCAAGTATATTCTTTGATTTGATATGCATAATAGTATATTTCAATTTTATGAGTAAGTTGTATAAATATTTATTGTGCATTTTTAGTTCAACAATTTGATTGCCCTTTTAAATTAAGGACTTCTTCTAAAAATCTATTTCTCAAATTTTCAGATGGCTGGGCGGTTGCTTTCTCTATTATCAACTTAGTTCTACGCCCCATCACTGTTATACTACTATACAGAGAGTTTAGTGCGCGCGGTGGCAGTCTACAAACCGGCTCCGTTTTTCCCACCACACAACAGCGCACTTACCAGGACATAGATCGACCAACACAGCCTACACCAACCAACTCTCAGCCTGGACCCAATGTTGCTAGTATCTTTTAAGAATTTGGAAAGAAAACCAGCATAGAGTGTAAAAAATGCGACAGAAAGTCGGTGGTACGTTTCCAGTGTATAGCGTGCACACTATGACAACACGATGTTCCCGTCTCATTGGTTTTAGACCATTTATTTAAAACTTTAATGTTATCGAAAAAGGTAGCTCCAAAAAGATTTAGTGTTAGTGTAAAATCTACATACTTCCATTTCAAAAGATAAATCATTATGGCATACTCTACTTGAGCTCTACATCTTCTACAAATTATTTTTTGCATCTGTGCCCCTATGTATAAGCCAAGGTCAAATACAAGTAAAGGTTTAGTCATTTCATCTTAGAAAAGTCTGCACAAAAGTTTATTCTGATATTGAATTGTAATTCTTAACATCTGTGTTCGTATGGAACAGTGGCTTATGTCGAAAGGCTGGCTTTAGTAATAGCATGCGCATTGCGTCAGCATGACTACTGTGCGCGCCGACGTAACTTTGGATAGCTCATAGTCATATAGGTCAATGCTCTTATTAAGTCTTGTCAAAAAATTCCTTGTCGTTTAAAGAATAAAGCGAATGCCAGCTTCCCGACATAAGCTACTATTCCACATGAACACAGACATAAACCCTTTGTGTATTTTTTTGGGTATTCTTATTAAACGCTTATACCTTGAAACGTCATTTAAACGATTTATAACATAATGAAACTTTCAAACCATCAAAGAAGCATATTAACAGATTTACCTGTACGTTGGCATGCAAAACATAACCAGTTATATTCCCTTTTAAAATTTGAATTCGTTAGTGAACAAGTTATTGCATATTTTAAGGGCAACAAATTATTTAGTTTATTATACTCTTCAGGAGATTTTATATGCTCCACTGTGCTCAGTAACTTTTCGCCGAACGACTATATTTTTTTTTTAACATTTCATAACTTTAATTTGTGCAAATAATTGTTACAATTTTAAACTCATTCAAAAATTGACCTCAACAGGAGATGGATCATTTTTTTTTTTAAGAAAAAATTCAATATATTTTCAATAGAGCCTTTTATACTTTATAAAATATGTACCTAGTTATAAACGATCACCAAAAAATCACAATCAAAAGCTTCATCAAAATCTTGGAGAACTACACATATTTACAATTGCGATGTTTTTAAAGCAGTGGTATCCGCCCACCAACTAAATCAATAGTGCTCTTGAAGACTTGTAAAATAAATGGAGTAAAATTTTTTCAAAACTAAAATTAGCCAATGAATAACAAGCAAAAAGTAAGCATTGTTGGTATTATTTATAATTCCTTAATCAAAGCACTAAAATCAAAAATAAAAAAAGCGGGTTACTCCAACTATGGGCTTACTTATTTACACACATATTTTATATTTGATATACTTTGAATAAATACGTATGAATTGTTAATGGTATAAGGCGTGTTGCGGCAGGTAAAATTTTTACTTATATATGTACTAATTTGTGCAATAAATAACGACAATTATAAAAGATACGCTTGCTATTTCAATAAACAGAAAAAGGTGTGATGCATTTCCGTTGGAAGAATGCCTAAAGTTTGCCCTCGGTACCAACCAAAGTGGTTGGACTACGTACCAGACGTACGTGTGGCATCTTTTGCTTACTATTCCCGTACATCTATACCATTATTAATGAGCTTTGTGCGAGAAAAAATATCCTCGAGTAACTGAAAACAAATTCTACTCTATGCTGCTCCACAATACACATTGGAAACATCTGCAGACTTGTGCGAACATGGTCCTAAATACGGCTGCAAGCTACCACCTCATTTCCTAGGAACATCACCTTAACGACAAAACGCAGGTACATATTTGCTTTCAAAGCTGTTTCTCTTCGGATACCATCGTGGAACCAAGGGTATGTTTCGTAACGAATCTTGATAAGGCGCCTCCTTGTAAGAAGGCACGTCATCCTCGGCGATCGCTCTCCACAGATCCACATAGAGTAACCGAAATAAGGGGGTCATATAGCCTTAAATCAAACCCCACCCCCTATTTACGCTATTTATTGCCTTTAATTAGGTACAACTTACCATCGAATTTGTAGAAAACTTTCTTAAATTAAAAAAAAAAAAATGAACACAGAAATGAACCTTGAGGAATGATTCTCTTACCCACACGCTATTCAATAATTCAAACATGTCTCTTTTGAAAAAGAATAAATAAATATAAAATTTGTATTTTTCTTTAACGTTGATCCTTAAATACTACCGAAAATAATACATAACAAAAAAAAACTTAATAAAACAAATTGCTTTTAGTACAAAAACTAAATACAATATTTTACATAACTTTGACTAAGTAATTCCAACATTTCGCAATTGTCTTTCTTTATATTTGTGCATACATAAGTACACATGTACATACATATATTTTATCAGATGGCCCACTTTATTGCTCTTCTAGAATCCTTCTTTGGCCTCTCGAAAACGATATTTATCATTGCTGCCAGCCAAGCAAGGCACTCGCACCAGATTGAAGTAAATCGATCCCATAAGTTGCGACGCTGGTGTGTTGGCTTTTTTGAGACAGGAATATAACATATCGTCGCATATACAATGAGATCTGTAAAATTGATTGCAATTAAAAATTAGTGTGCGATAATTAAATTGAATGTAAAAATTATGAATAAAAGCACGCAATTAGAAAGGACAACATTTGCCAATTAGTTTAGCAGTTGGCGAGTAGTTAGTTAAATGAAAAGGTGCAGTGTCATTGGCACAGTAACGAATCGTAAATATAGATGCAAATACATATGCATGCATGTATGTACGTACATTAGTGTGCGCCTTATTTCTATGAAGATTTTTTTTAGATAAAAGGCAAGACAACCGTGTCATGCGAAAAATTTTGAAAACCGGTCGAACTTTTCTACGGGGCGTTGTAGATCATAGTAACTAGTAGTGCATACTAAGCATATACATACATATATACATANAAGCGATTTAATAATAGAGTAAAACGGAAGTATGGTTTGACAGCTTACAACTCAGTGCTACCAAACTAGCAAGAACTTACAAACTCCGATAAGTACTGCCTAACTAGCAGGTCCTTACAATAGGGTTACCAGTTAGGCGCGAACATACCGGCCGCCTTGAACGACCGTTCAAAATTAGATTAACATTTTAAATTGAGTGGAAATTCAGGTAGTAAATATATCAGTTTTTGTCGGCAGCAGCGTTAGTTTCGAAATGGGTCTCAAGAGTTCACCTTCTGCGGTCTTTAAGCTGACAACACGCACGCGATTGTCGGTACCGGGGTGGCTATCAAGTACACGTCCAAGTTTCCATTTGGTAGGTGGGG